TGAAGGGATTGGAGTCTGTGTTGATGAGAACACCTTGGTGGCTGTGGCAGCTGGCAGTGGCAGCAGTAGCGGGATGATGGGGGCAGTGCCTTCCCCTAATCAGCCCGGTTGCCTCCTGTAGAGGGAGGCCAGACTGCAGTTTAGACCCACTCCCCATGGGGAGCAGGCCTAAGCCATCAGTAGGACATCCCCTGAGGGCTCCTGGATTGGAGAAGGTGCAGGTTGGGCTTAGGGACCATACCCCCCCCCCCCATGCATAAATTTCATGCACCGGGCCTCTAGTATACATATAAATTTAAAAAATGACATTTGTTAATATCAGCATCAACAAGACTTTAAATATGGAAAGCTGTCAAGCTCATGGAAGTAGATAAGTCTTCTGAAATTCTAATTTTTGCTTTGGAAGCTCAGAATTCATCATTTGCAAGAAGATACTTTCATGATCTTCCTGATATCACAGGTTCATTTCTTTTGGTTTTGAGAAAGAGTTCGTCTTATACCTAAATCTGAATAAGTATGACTGACAGTTTGTCTGTCGGTCATTTGTTCCAAATAAAAATCGTGTTCCATGAAAAAAGGGAAAGAATATAATGACTGCTCACACAGTTTGGTTCTGATCTGATTCCTAAGGTGTTATGCCCAGTAAACCTGCTTCAAAGAATTGTGTGTCCTCGGTATCTAGATAGCTAGATCATAGGGCAAGGGAGATCTATGCAGAGAAAATAAATCCCTTAGACAGAAGAGAGAGGGACTTGGGCAACAGAATGGGGCTGGATTCCAACCCCATTAGGTGCTGGTCGTTTACCTTCTGTGTCAGGTTTACCTCCTATGTCACATGTGTGATCTCTCATGCTATAGTATTTCTTGCTTTACTAAAAAGCTAGACCACTTATTGGCCACTTTGCTGTCCTATTCACAATGCTAAGCAATTTACAGGCAGCATATTACTTAATTCTCTGCAGTGTCGGAGCTCATCTTCACTTGGAGATCATAAACCTGGTGAGTTATGGGACTGATTCGGGGGCACTAGAGGCTAGGATGAGACCTGCTCATTTGTGTTTACAAGCAGCCTGGTGCAGAACCCAAGATGCAGAGGGTAGTCTGGCTCTGAATTGGGGAAGACCAGCTTGGGGGAATGGAGTGTCTTGGCAGGTGGATCGTGGTGACATAGATCCAGAATCTGGCAGAAATCAGGTATGTAAGCTTGTGATGCTACCAAAGCAATCAGTAGGTAGATGGTTCTCACTTTTGAACAGAGGCTCAACAATGAGGTTTTAGTTGGAATACAAGTCAAGAGGGGTTCCCCATTTCCCAGTCATAGAAAGTCAAGGGTGTAAGGTAGCCAAGAGGATTAGTTATTTGAAATTAGTGCTTTAATGCAAACTGGCTTTGATGACTTGGCATAAGCTCAGTTGTCAGCACTAGAAGGCTGTGTCAGGACAGAAGTGGTACTGAGAGGGCTCACACGTGGATTGCAGAGTGTTGGGCTGGAACTCTTTGGATACCTATGGTTTTAATGTAGACTATGAGGTACATGACATTTCTCAGAACTATATAGTATATATGACCTGGGTTGTCCTGTGGTAGGGGTGTTTGTAGATGGGCTGGCTCTTGGGCAGAGGGCAGGGGTGGTTAGCTGTTGGGAAGAGAGGGCAGAGATTGAGAATGGAATGAAGAAGGAGCTGCCTAAACATTTTAGACAGCTGCAGTGGAAGTGCCAGAAGTAGATATTGGAGGCCTTTTATTGATGATCTCTAAAAATCCCATGCTTCAAACCATTGCATCTATTGTAATGCTGGGCTCCTAGTAGATATTCATGAAAAGATCCTGGACTGCAGTAAATCTCAGACTGCAATGGTTCATTTTAATTGCCTTTGTTCCCCCCACCTCCAAAACTGCCCTCAAGATCAGAAACCCTACTTTTTATTTATTTATTTATTTATTTATTTATTTATTTATTTTTAACCAAGCACCAGAAACAAATGCACATGTTTAAGCGCACCAGAAGAGGATGCAGGCATGAGTTTGGCACTTCTCGTGTTCTTCATTTCCAGCGTTTTCTATTCTTGGTGATTCACATGGTATGGGTGGACTTCAGAGCTGGTTTTTACCTCTGGTTTATGAAGCTACCTTTGTGATACGGTTTTAAGGTATTTTGAATCATTGATTAATGCTAAGCACAGGCTTTTCATAAAAGATAGGTATACACACACACCATCATTTTTGCAAACAGCCTTTGAGGTTTCAATGAATGTTTATTGCCAGTGAATCCCATTCATAAAATGGTTAATAGAGACTGTAATTGTGGTATCAGTAAAGTAATATTCTATTTCTTCTCATGTGGGATCAGTTACAGTATCTGCTTTTCTATTTGAATAATATTTTAAAATAACAGCTTATTAAACATTAAAATAATGCTTACCGATGATTGTTATTATTAACATTAACATGGTTGGGTTAACTAGCTAGATTATCTGACAAAAAAAAAAATGTCCTTAAGTAGAACTAGAGAATGAGAAAAATGTAATTAGCAAACAATTTCCATCTCTATTAATTATTAAATCTTTTAAGAAAGAAATTGCATTATTTTGCCTATTATATTAGCAAAGAATTTTTAAAATTATAATATGTAGTTCTAGCAAGGGTACCTGTAGAAAAATAATATATTGTTGACAAATGAAATTTTCATATAGTTGACCAGAAACATTTCTGGCCAAATGTAAGAGACTGAAGAGAATGCATACTGTTTATCTAATGATTTCTCTGCCAGCTGAAAAATCTTATATATGAAAAAGCTTTATGCATAAAGATGTGAGTAACAGCGTTACTGATATTAGAGGAGAGGTGGAAATGATCTGAAGGCATTTTAGAGGATTTTGATTCTTGTGCTTGAGCCCCCAGATGTTAAGTCAGGTGATTCCTAGATTTCTGTGGTTCAGTGACTCCTTGCTAAGTGGAGGCTGGGGTGAAGAGGCCCCGGCTAGTTGTAGGAGAGTTTATTGGTGAGGTCTCAAAGGGCAATCACATAGGTTGTGGGGTAATATTTGACATTGGGGGAATTTGCCAGGATGATCGAAGGAGTAGAAGGCGCTTAATAGTCCTGGATTATTGGAGTGTCAGCATGGGGCTCTTGCAATTTGCTTAATGAGAATCCCAAATTCCTATGTGATGTCAGAGACCTCCCTCAGCTCCCATTTTCTGTCTTCCCCTTTGTCTTCTAACACCCCCTCTCCCCCATCAAATCACCTTCTGCTTCCCTCCAAGGAAAATCTCTAAGAAATGCTTTTCTACTATTGGGCAATTTGCCTCCACCTCATTCCAATGCAAAATAACCCTTCTTTCCTCCAAAATATGGGATCTAATTTGATCCTATAGGTAGGACTTGTCTGCAGATTGAGGGGTGGGGAAAGTCTCAGAAGGGGTGGTGAATATATTTATAATGTTGGAATTTAAGGCTTCCTATGCAATAGTAATAAATAACGAATGCTTTCAATGCCCTTTCTGTGCATTAGACACTGTTCAAATTCCTTACCTGCAAGAGTTTAAGTCTCCCAATAGTTCTACTTGTGGACAGGCTAGCTCTGATATTAGTAAAATGTCTTCCAGAAGAATCTTGGAGATCTTGCCCTGGTTAATATTTTGGACTAGGGATGGGTTTGTCTCTTTCTTGGGGAACCACCAGCTTGTCAAAGAACTGGAGAAAGTCCAGAGAGAGAGGGTGCAGTAAAGCTGCAGCCCTCGGGCACTTGTTGCTGCACACTTCTGACCCATTGTGCAGGGGGCGACACCATTTCCCTTGCAAGTTGCTCCTGTCCACGTCTAACCAAGGAAGCTTGGTTTTGGGGTGACAGAAAGGGGTAGGGATGGAAGTTTGAGGGTTAAAAAAAAAAAAAGCTTATGTATTATTTTGATATAATGCAAAGAGAAAGAAGCATTTTGGGGGGTGAGGAAAGTGAGGGTAGGTGGAGAATTTTGCAGTCTGGGGTGTGGTGTTTGCATATACAGATGCACCCTTGTGATTTTTCCCCCCCCACACACACTTGTGATCTGGGGTGGAACCATTTGGGGAAGGCACAGGGGGACAGAGAGATGTTAACAAATACAAATTTCTGGAGGCCAAGGCTTCAGTCTTGGTCCCATCTTGTTCCCAGCACCTGATGCCATGTGTAAGACTGAATAAGGCCTCAGTAAACTTTTCCTGGGTTCGCTTGAATTCAGCCTCTATGAAGCTGGAAAACACAGAACTCGGAGTCCATTTGCCGTGGCTTTGCCTCTAGATTTTCTTCCTTTCTCACAGAGTCGCTGCTGCCCTCTTCTGGGCTTAGTAGTAGGTATCTCTTGGGGAAATATATATTTTTTGTTAGCAGCATCCCACATATTATTTTTAAGCTTAGCACTCCAAGTCTAGCAACTCCGAGACCTGGATGGGGAGTCAGAGCAGACTCAGGTAGCTTGTGTTTGGACAGAATCCCTGCTTGGAGATGATACACATCTGGGAGGCTTTGCAGATTTGGCTTGAATGGGACTGGAGTTGAAAATAAGCTTATTCTGTTCAGATATCTGTAATGGAGAGATGACTGCCTTGAGAGGCAAAAGAACTGGAATGTAGACTAGCCATAAACCCTGAGCTCTGACTTCCTGGGGCTCATTTTCATTTTCTATAAAGCGGACCAGGCCGATTGTGTTCCAAAAGGGGATCTGGGACTTCAACCGGAGAGAGAGCCTCTAAGCTCTCCCCTCCCTTGTGACCTCTGCCCCACTGCTGAGCTGCTCCACTAGGAGCTGGTTTATTTATGAAGTGTCCAATCCGAGTTTGCAGGGAGTGGGGGGGGGGGGGAGAATGTCCTCAAAAGTCTAAAGCCACTAAACGAGATGATGATCTCTGAGATTCTTCCAGCTCTAATGGTGTGATTTTTATGACCCTCGCACTGAGTCAGAGACTCGAGAGCTGAAGTCATAGGGCCCAGAATGTCTGTGTAAACGCTGTGGGTGTTTTGCAGGCGGACAGCCCAGAAGACATGCACAGCTGGATTAAAGAGATCAGGGCAGCTGTCCAGGCCCTCAAGTACCACCCCAGAGTAAGTCACTTCCTTTCTGTTGCATAGTCGCTGTCAGCTTGGGGATGCGTGACCTTGAGTGGGCAGGTTTTAATTTGGTGCCGAAGGCAGGCAGCCTGGGCCCAGCTGAAGCCCCGGGCCGCCTTGTTTGTTTTTCTCTCTCGACTGACTTGGGTACACATGTTTATTTTTTAGTTTTGGTTCTTGGAGGAGATGAGGTAGGGCCGGATAGATGTGTCCTACACAGCTCCCTGTCAGGCAGACTTTGACAAGTCTGGAGTGAGTCTCTTTGGGCTGACTTGATTTCTGTAGACAAACGTCTCTGGACGACGAGACGGTGATCGTGGGTGGGTTACTCGACGTGGGGCTTTGGGATAAACATTGTCAGGAAAGCCCTCACTTTCTTTTTTTTTTTTTCTTCCCCCTTTTATGTTTGTAGGAAATGTCCTTTTCTAGATCCATATCTTTGACTCGCTCTGGAAGCTCCAGCCTGTCGGGTGGGCCCAACTCTGTCTTCTGCAGAGGACGGCCGCCCGTGGAAGAGAAGAAAGCCCTCTGCAAAGCCCCCTCCGTGGCCTCCTCCTGGCAGCCCTGGACACCTGTCCCCCAGGCCGGGGAGAAGCTACATCCCCCCGAAGAGACTCTGGAGGACTCGTTGTTCACGTCTCGACTTGGGGAAAGCAATACTTCGGGGGCGTTGCCCAGCTCCCGGATCAGGCACCGATCGGAGCCCCAGCACCCCAAGGAGAAGCCATTTATGTTCAACCTTGACGATGAGAACATACGGACTTCTGACGTGTGACGAGGCACAGTGCCCAGGGAGGGGGGGACGGGGAAGACTCAAGAAAAGGAGGCCATGACTCAGGTTCTTTGTCTGTTGGAGGATAGTCAGAGGCCTTTATGCCGCTCATATTCCTTTGGATGCTCTGTGGGAGGGGCCCATCCAGCTGGCTTTTTTAAAAAAAGAAATATCAGCGCAGTGTATTTAATTTGGGATAATCACTAGGTTAGACCTGTGGGCATGCTCAATGGAGAGCAGGTTGCCTCTTGCTCGACTATTGCAAGGTCATCCTGATGAGAGAAGATTTTTGTCCCTCACCAAGTTTTATTTCCTCGGCCTCGTTTTAGTTCCTTCTCTTTGTTTTCAGGACAGACACAGAATCTTAGGCCAGCCATCTGGTTTTATCCTGTTCCTCTGTAGCAGCTGAAGTTTGACTGTGAAGTAGAAGGATAGTAACTAGCCCACCTAACCAGAGAGAGGAAAGGTGGAGATCCAGGCTCCCCTTCACTGGGATCCATTCTAAGGGGAGGTGTTAAAATCTGGGGGCTACTCTATCAGGGCAGATCCCCATAGAGAAAGAAATAGGGATCTCTTGTAAGGAATGGGGAATGATTAATTCAATACATCAGTCAATTTGGGGAATGACTCTGTTCTCATGTAGATGCTTTTTGACCCCAAATACTGTCAGTGTGAGTGACAGATCCGCCCACCTGGTTTCTGGGTCCAGCCTTAAGGATGGGTTTATCAGTGTTAAATGTTATGATTGTTTGAGAACAGACATTTCCCTTGATATGGTGTTAGTTGGAATGCGTGGAGGGTTGACACTTGTATATAATTCACTTGTGTGATAGGTCAGATCTCTCTTTTAGAGTCTTAGGTTTGCTGTGAAGCAGGTGCTGGGAAGAGATGGGTTAGCGTTTCCTTGATCCATGTTTTCCAAACAGAAGGAAAGGCCTGTTTTATCCTAGACAGATTATCTGGAATCCTTGCCTCACAGCTCCTTTTTAATAGTCCAACAGTAGTCTAAGTTTAAGAGCTGTAGTATCGTGTACCCTGGCAGATTTGCTTTCTTTTTATTGTTTGTGTCGTCCTTTGAATGAAGCCTTATGTTCTTGCATGATCCAACCTTATAATCTGATGAGGTGTTCCATGTACTGAAGAGCAGAGATAGAAAGATAATCTTGATAGATATTTATATTTTTAATACAATAGAAACTGCATAGAAACACTGATTTAGAGGCTATGCTTTGCTGACTAGAGATGTCCCAGGAAGAAGAGCATAGATTGCATTACTCACCCAAATTTCAGGGTGTACCTTCTTCCATTTGGGGGAAGAAAAAAAAAAAAGTCTATTTCTGGGCCCCTGGGAGGATTTGTCTATCCAATTCATATGGTGAACTGCTATCAGGAACTTATCAGGGTTCCCTAAAGGAAGAGACAAGGTAACTCATTTCTGTCTATAACTTTTACCAGCTAGGTCAGGTAATTATATTTTTAAATTATAAAATCAGTGACTTGTGGAAGAGACTAAGAGAAGTATTTTCACCTAAGTAAATTCCTTTCCCTGCTTATGTCCACATCCAATGCAGAGGTGAAAAGATGTGATCAGAAAATCCTTAGGGACTTGAGGGAAATCTTATGTTTTCCTTGAAGTCAACGTCATGTTGAGAACCATTCTTGACTGCACTGTGTTGGAGCTACCCTTCTCTTAAATTGTTTGGCATAGTGGTCCTGGTATAAAAAGAAAATCTACTACTGGGTCTCTCTCTCTCCCTCTCTCTCTCTCTCTCTCTCTCTCCCCTCCCCCCCAGACTTTTGTACACCTTTCTACTCAGAAATGAAAATTATTTGCCTACATCAAAGAAAGTACACAATAAGTCATACTGAATTAATGAAAATAATTTAGAGACTTTTGAGGTCTCTTTAAACATTCCCTAACTCATGGAAAGTTGCCACCTTTTGGTATGTAAACTGTAAAAATGTATCTGTTTCTCTCTTTTAAAATTAAACTCTCTGTTAGATAACTACTGCTACATTAATTGACCATTATAATAAACTGATATGTTTCTTATTCATTAGTCTTTTTTTGAGAATGTGTTAAATTGAACATGCTTACAAATCCAAATTGTGTTATCTTGATGGGGAAAACAAGGACTCTAGTTGGCAGTTTCTTGGAAATCCCAAGTCAGAATATGTTAATGTAGTTCCAACCCCAGGTAAATATAATTATCTTCACTGAAGCCTGAAGGCATTCTCATTCCCAAGCCGTATTTCAGAATTCCTTTTGTGTCCATATTTCTTACCTTCTGGCCAGTTTCACAGCACAGCCTTTTAATGTCACTACACATGTGAGCCAAAGATGGTGTATGTACAGCAAAAGCATTTCCTTTTAAATGTATAAAATGGAAGCAAAGAAAAAAAATAGGGCAGGGATGCACAATAGGTTAGTAGTTCAATGCATAGGCTCTGGAATAAATCTGAGTTAAAAAATAAAATAAAAAGAACTAAAAAAAGGCACTGCATTTTCTTTGTGGAATAAAACCCTTCTCTGGGTTGTGCTGTTTTTACCAGACATTTGATGGGGTCTTGATTCACTTAATAGTAACTACTTCAGGTGGTCTTCCCTAGAACTGAACTATTCACCATCCACTGCTTTTGAAAGCTTACCGATTTGCTCTCTTATGTCAGTTGATGGTGAACAGAATTGGACTTTTTGCATACTTGTGAGACAACAAAAACATACATTAAGTAGAGTGACCTCCGGTCAAAATGTTGGAATTACACATCTGTTTCTGGGTAGAATGCTGGAAGATTCCCATGAGAAAGTAGATTCAAGGTCCAGTTTTGTGGTTCACTTACAAGTTTCCCCCCTCTCCCCCCCCACTTCCTTTGAATATAACTGCTCTGACATAGGGTAAAAGGACCCAGGAAATAAATAGCAGGCTCTGTAGTGGAGCAGTGGGATTTGATGTCTATTTGCGCTGAGAACTAAATAAAAAAGGCACAAGGAGGTAACAGTATTTTGGAAATGGGAGTTTCCCCAATCAGCTTCATTTATAAACTTTGAACATGTCAGAAATGCTTCCGTTTATTAAATCCTTTCTAATTATTCCCCTTTCTCTCTGCGTTGTTGCCTGCGGCAGTCAGTGCCCGTCACTCATCTACAATAGATAGGGTTTGAGCTGTGTGATCCCTTCCCCACTGCTTAGGAAGGTGTGGCATGATTCTGTGTTTTGAACCAGTATGTTTCAGCTGTGAAATGCACCCGCTGAAACGGCTGAGCTGAGAGCATGGAAACTGTTGTGCTTCTCATGTTATGTGCTCTCTGAATTGGTATGTAGCAGAAAATTAATTTTCTAAAACTGTTTAGTGGCTTGTTTTGTAATAAAAACACGAGGATACTAAGTGTGGTGTGTTTTCCTAATGCCCAGCGTGGGCGGGTGATCGTTCTTGCCATCCTGTCCCTATTAGTTTTATGGATTTCCCAATGCGGTCCCCGCCACCCCCCAGAGTAGGGCTACACACCTCTCGTCACTCCTGGAGGGGGGTCGGAGTGGGGCGGGAGTGTGTGGATGTGGCCATCAGGGTGGGAAGATGCATGGGTGTGTATGTGGAGAGGGCTGCCAGGCTCTGCCCCCGAAAGTCTGGGGCTGGTGGAGGCGGCACCCTGGCCGGGACAGTGTTGCTCCTTTAAAAGTGGTTGCGGGCCCAGGGTCCAGTCATTGGGAAAGTGGGAGGAAGAAGGGAGCAGCATGGTTAGACCTTCGCTTCAACCTGGGCTGGGACCATGCCTCCTGCTGTGGCTGCTGCTGCCCCGGGTGCCCGATCCCAGGGTGGAGGCTCAGAGGACCTGGCCCTCTCCGTTCTGCCCCGCGGTCTGCGAGCCAAGGCGCTGCCCGCCGCTGCCCACCTGCGCCTCGGGGGCCGCGCCGGTGCAGGACCGCTGCGGCTGCTGCCGCGTGTGCCCCGCGGCCGAGGGCGAGGTGTGCGGCGGGGCGCTCGGCCGGCCCTGCGCCCCGGGGCTGCAGTGCAGCGCGGCGCTCCGCTCAGGGCGCCTGTGGGGCACCCGGCTGGGCACCTGCGGCTGCCCGGCGGCGGGGGCGGCCGTGTGCGGCAGCGACGGGCGCACCTACCGCAGCCTGTGCGCGCTCCGGGCCGAGAACCGCGCCGCGCGCCGCCGCGGGGCGCTCCCCGCGCTGCCAGTGCAGAAGGGGGACTGCAGGGACCGAGGTGGGTGCAGGGACCGAGGTGGGTGCACGGATCGAGGTGGGGCTGCAGGGATCGAGGTGGGACTGCAGGGATCGAGGTGGGGCTGCAGGGATCGAGGTGGGTGCAGGGACAGAGGTGGGTGCACAGATCGAGGTGGGACTGCAGGGATCGAGGTGGGTACCGGGCCGGGTGCCCTCTGGAAACTTTCTCAAGGAGCCTGTTGGAATCGCGCAGCTCTCTGCGGGTTCTGCCTGCTCCATTGGCCATAGGGATTCCACTGCTTGCTCCCGATTTTCTTTCCTTTTGGGGTGTCTCTTTACGGTCCCCATGTGGTGTCTCTTCCCCCCCCCCCCCCCCCCAGTTTCCTCTCCACACCTGTTAAATGTCCTCTTCCCTTCTAATTTGTTGTTGTTGTTGCTGTTGTTGTTGTTCCTAATGAAGTGGCTGGCCTAGTTCCCTCCAGGCTTTCTTTTTTTAATTAAAAAAAAAATTTATTAAGGTATTATATGTGTACATATCTTACCATTTGCCCCCCCTCCCATTCCCATACATGCCCTTCCTCCCCAGAGTTTTGCGTCCATTGGTTATGCTTATTCGCATGCATACAAGTCCTTTGGTAGATCTCTTATCTCCCCAGGCTCATCCTTACCGGAGAGGGACCAAAGGATGCAGGCCCGGGAGACTGAGGAGAGGAAGGGGAGGGAGAAGAGGTGGAGAGAGACACGGGGAGAGACTGAGAGATCTGAGATCGGACCCCGTAGCAGTATTTCCCAAACCTTTGACATATGTGTACCCCTTCTATAATTTTCGTAACGCTGAGTACCCCTCGTACTCATGAGAACGTAGAATTAGGCGCAGCTAAGCATGGTGCAGTGCCTATCCCCACCAAACTCTTCCCGTACCCCTGGGGGTACGCGTACCACACTTTGGGAAACACTGCGGGCGTAGAGGATCAGCAGGCGAGGTCCCCTCGCTCCCCCATAATGGAGCATTTCTTCCCAGGGACCAGAAGCGCAGGCTGGCTCAGGAGCAACTACAACTTCATCGCAGAGGTGGTGGAGAAGGTGGCGCCCTCGGTGGTTCACTTGCAGCTATTTAGGAGGTAAGGGAGGCAGAAGGGGGGCGCCCACTCCCCGCTGGGCTTTCCGCTCCTAGTCCGCGCTGCCATGAGACTCAAAGCGGTCCAGTCACCTAGTGAATGTCCTGAAGGGACACGGGTTCTGACTCCCAAATCTGGGTACTCTTGAGCACTTAGGCGGCCGGGGTTTCTCTCTCCCTCATCTGCCAGACAGATAGAATGGAAGGTCAGGTGCGAGAGGTAGAAAGCATCTGAATGATCTTGCTCAGCCCCCTCCTTGTTGTGGAGGGAAATCCTCTGTCAAAAGCCAGTTAATGGTGGGACCTAAACAGGAACCAGCCTTCCCGGGCTCCCAGCTCCCTGCCAGGGCCCTGATGGTTTGGCACCAGGTCCACTCTTGACCCCGGTGTTGTGATTAGGTTGGGCCTATTGGAAGCAGAGGGCTGCTGCTCCCATCAGCTCTGAAGAGGGAGTGTCCCTGGAAAGGGAGAGTTAGAATCAGCTCTCAGTGGGATTCACACCAGACCACCAGGCCACTGAATATGCAGACTCCAATCATACCCAGAGAACATGAAAACACGGGAAAGGAACGTGTCTGGGAAACTGTGCTGGAGGTTTGCTTGATAAATGCGAGGTTCCCGCGTTTCCAGACTGGTGCATTCCTGACTCTCCTGCCCTCTGCTTGCGCTGTTGTCTTACCGAGACAGGTCACCTCTCAGCGGCAAGGATATCCCTGTGTCCAGTGGCTCTGGGTTCATAGTGTCTGAGGATGGGCTCATCGTTACCAATGCCCACGTCGTCACCAACCGGCAGCGAATCCAGGTGGAGCTGCAGAGTGGGGTCCAGTATGAAGCCACTGTCAAGGACATTGACCATAAACTGGACCTTGCACTGATTAAGATTGAGCCAAATGTGAGTATGTGTGGTCTAAATCAGAGTCTGCGTATTTGGGGGTTTTCATCAATGTGCTCGTGTTGTCTTCTCCGCCCCCCCTTCCACCTACAACACATGTTTTTCACCTAGTATATGCTATTTTCTAATTTCCTTTTTTTAGTCCCTTTCCTATTTTCTCTCTTTTTAATTTAAAAAAATCATTATTGTTGAAAGTATTACATATGTCCCCCTTTTCCTCCCATTGACTCCTTCTAGCCCGCCTGTTTATTTTCTTCCATGCCAGTCTGTATATCCCTAACAATTTTGATTAGTTCTCCAGCAGTCTTTTCTTCTTCTTCTTCTTCTTCTTCTTCTCCTTCCCTGCCTCTTCAACAGATGCTGCTTCTGGGAAACTTACTTCTCTTAGGGTAGTCTTAGAGTAGCATGAATGATCACAGTGAATTCAGAGCTGCTAAGGAATACTGTGAGGTCTCATTACCGTTACACCAAGTGCAGTCTGCATTCCAGCAGTATTTACATCATCTAAGAATTTTTTTTGGAAATGCAGAATCTCAGACCACAGGCAGGTCTACTGAATTAGAATCTGCATTTTCTTAAGATCCCCATGTGATTCGTGGGCATATTAAAATTTGAGAAGAACTGCTCTGAGTGGTCAGCTTTGTTTGTAGCCAGTTAATTTTTTTTATTAAAAACATATTTTTTATTGATTTTTTTATAGAGAGGAAGGGAGAAGGATAGAGAGCTAGAAACATCGATGAGAGAGAAACATCGACCACCTGCCTCCTGCACACCCCCTACCGGGGATGTGGCCGCAACAAATGTTCATGCCCTTGGCCAGAATCAAACCTGGGACCCTCTGAAGACTGACGCTCTATCCATTAAGCCAAACCTGTTTCGACTGTGGCCAGTTAATTTTAAGGGTCAACTTTTGAGCTAAGTAATTTGCTAATGTCAGTTTATGTTCATCAGTTACTTTACTTCTGGTTCATTTATTGTAACTTACACAAAGCAATACTTTTAGGTTTTAGAAATGATCCCAATCATCTTAACACATGAGAGTCTGGGTGGGCAATTTTTGGATATATGCAGGTTGAGGGAGAACTTCCCATTCCAACTGGCGCAGTTTTTCAGCAGTGATTCTTGCAGTATGCGGTCGTGCGTTATCGTGGTGAAGAATTACGCCCTTCCAATTACTCAGCGCGGGTTCTTTTTCTCTTAAAGCTTGGGCTAACCTTTCCAATTGGGCACTGTACACTGCACTTGTAATGGTTTGGTTAGATGGTAAAAGTTCATAATGAAGAATTCCTTTAAAATTCCACCAAACACACAACATCACTTTTTTCACATGCAAGTCAGGTTTTGGCGTGGGCTGCGGAGCCTCATTTTTGTCCAACCATTGAGGCCGCCTTTTCAAATTAACATACAGCACCTATTTTTCATTTCCGGTAACAATTTGCTCTAAAAACGGCAAACGGTTTTGACGAGAGAGGAGCGAACTGCAAATTGTGACTCTTTGATTACGGTTGTTGTCGGTCAACTCATGAGGAACCCATTTTCCAAACTTTTGGACTTTGCCAAGTGCACGCAATTGATTGGAAATTGTTTTTTGTGAACAATTTAAAGTTGTCGCAAGCTCTTGTTGGGTAACTTGAGGATTTTGCACCAAAAGAGCTTGAAGAGCTTCTTGATCAAAATTGGACACACGGCCTCGACCACTCTTGTCATCTAACGAAAAATTTCCCTCGCAAAATTTCTCAAACCAACGCTGGCATTTTCTGGCGCTAACTGCATCTTGACCAAGAGCACTACAGATGTTTTTTGCAGCCTCACTTGCTTTTCTTCCTAATTGGAACTCGTAAAGCATGCAGTGCCGAATATGCTCTTCATCCACCATCTTCTTAGCCCTAGTTTTGCAATAAAAACCAAAACAAACACAAACTTTTTCAAGCAAAACTTGTTAATTGCACTTCACACGTTCTGTAGATACCACGTGTTTGAAGGTTATGTCAATACAAGTTAAATGCCAAATGACAAAGACTGTCATATATGTGCTGTACTCAAACACCTGCTGATTCTATTCTTGATTGTCTTCCCCATTCTTCTTGCCCATGTGCAGACTGACCTTCCAGTATTGCTGCTGGGAAAGTCATCTGACCTGCGGGCCGGAGAGTTTGTGGTGGCCTTGGGCAGCCCGTTTTCTCTGCAGAACACAGTGACTGCGGGGATTGTCAGCACTACACAGCGAGGGGGCAAAGAGCTGGGGCTGGAGGATTCAGACATGGACTATATCCAGACCGATGCCATAATAAATGTAAGTCCCTTGGGAGGGCCATTGTGAGTCCATGGGCTACTTACAGGGGTTGCAGTGGGGAGAACACTTCAGAGTGGCTTTTCCCATTGGCCTTTTGGGGATGTCCCGAGTTCAGTTAGATCCTTATGAGAGGGATGTAATGCCAGATTGTTAGGCTTCAGCCTGTTTGACACAATAACTGGCATCCATGATATTGGGTGGCCTGTTAGGGTCTGTCACAGAGGCCACTACTGCCGTAGGAAGTGATGGTCCTCTTGCTGTTGTTCTTTTTTCTTTCTTTCTTTTTTTTTAATGTATTTTATTGATTTTTTACAGAGAGGGATAGAGAGTTAGAAACATCGATGGGAGAGAATAATGGATCAGCTGCCTCCTGCACAGCACCTACTGGGGATGTGCCTGCAACATGCCCTTGACCAGAACCAAACCTGGGGACCTTTCAGTCCACAGGCCAACGCTTTATCCATTGAGCCAAACTGGTTTCGGCTTGCTGTTGTTCTTTATCTTCAGTGACTCCAGTATGATGATGATGGGGAGAGGGAGGGACAACTTTGCCTGCCTTGGGAGAACAGGAGCTCACTAGAGTGGGCTGTTTTTGGTAAATCTGTTTAGGAACTATGAATAGTTGACAAGGAGAAAAGCACTAATGAATTTTCTCAAATTCTGTCTCCAGCACGGAAATTCTGGGGGGCCTCTGGTGAACTTGGTAAGTGTCCACTTTCCTTGCTGCTTCATGCTCTTCCTTGCAAAGACTTGACAGATTGCATGGTGCAGACTAATTCTAGCGTAGAGATCTGTGGTGTGATGCTTTTCTATGACTGCATTAAGCAAATGGTTAGGACAGTGGTCGGCAAACTCACTGGTCAACAGAGCCGCAGTTGGCCGACCACTGGGTTAGGACAACTTAAGATCTACAATGGGTTTGTCACCTTGGTGTGTGATCTCACCCAACCAGGAGAGCCAGGATTTGCTTACACATTATATCTCTTCAACACACTTTCTGTTTTCATTGGACAGTTAACAAAAGTTCTGGGTACTAAACCCAGATTTATGTCAAATGACCAATTGTACTATGTAGTGTATATCCTTGAAGACTCCCTGCTACCGCATATGAAGAATTGTCTCTCCTCCCAAAATGCTAATTTCAGGATGTGGCCTGTCTAGGTTTTTAGTCTTAACCCACTTATAGATGACAGAAAAGCCACACCATGAATCTATTGTTCTGTCATGTAGTTAATTATTAAAATCTTTCAGTCTCTCTGGTGAAAATGCCAGCTTTTTTAGTCGCTCAAATCCATGTGAAAACAGAGTGCAGTGCTCATTGGCGCAGCCTGTGATCGCGCTTTCTGAGTTTTTGAGCGGATTCATTTTGGTTCATCTTTACGTATTACACTGACTTGTAGGAGGATGAATGTGTGTGACTGTGTGACGATACTGAGCGTACTTTACTCAGAACACTGCATATAATTTTGTGTGCCTTATTTCTCTAGGGGCCAATGAGCTTACTAGAATTTTAGACCACACTCTGGACCTACTGAATTATAATCTGTTGCTTAATAGTATTAAATTAAGTAATATGACGTTTTATCCTTTCCATTACCTAACAAAGGCTAGAGGATGATGAAGTGCACGGAGCAGAAAGTATTTCTCACTTCATAGCCTTGGTTTAGTAGAGCTTTGTTCCTAAAGTCAATTTACTAATTCTTATGGATCATTTCACTAAAGTGTTGCTGAAAATCTAACAGCTTTTTGCCTTTGCCATGTTTATTTTTGGTGTCATTTAAGGAATGAAAAGGCAAATACTCCTTGTTCTCTTCTTTGGGTCAAATAACAAACTGTGGTTCACCCTTAAAATCAATGTAATTTGGCCCAGCTGGTGTGGCTCAGTGGTTGATCATCAACCCACGAACCAAGAGGTCACTGGTTGGATTCCTAGTCAGGGCACATGCTTAGGTGGTGGACTCGATCCCCAATAGGGAGCATGCAGGAGGCAACTAACAGATGTTTCTATCTCTCTACCCCTCTCACTTCTCTCTAAAATCAATAAAGACATGTTAAAAATACAAATAAAATCAGAATAATTTGGCGAAGGAAAAATGAGCTCAAGATTAAAAAAAAAATTCCTCCACAGCAACTTGCACATGTAGATCCCCTCTACTATCCTTCTACACATTACCCTCTAAGGTAGCATCCATTGATATGGACTGAAGAAGCCCACTTTTCTGCTAGCTCCTCTGTACCCTGGCCCTAAGTGACTCACTTCACTCAGTTTGCACAACTTGGTGACTGAATGATATCTCCTCCCCTGTCAGGATGGTGATGTGATTGGCATAAATACACTGAAGGTGACCGCAGGAATCTCCTTTGCAATCCCCTCTGATCGAATTCGAGAATTCTTGGCAGAATTCCATGAGCGCCAGTTGAAAGGTAAGGGGAGTAAGGACTTTTTCTTCCCTTTCTGTGTTTTTTGGGAGCACTCAATCTACTGTGGATATAGTTCTGTTGAATACTATCACTGGTACTCAGTTTCTCTAATGGTGGTTTGGGCAGTAATATAAGGACTAGGCATAAAACCGGGCATGGGTTGTACCCAGAAACATTTGGATTGAATTGTTGTGGAAAGGAAACCTGAGGGGCAGAGGTGGGGAGTTGGGTGGGAGGATGTTTGTACTAATGATGAAGGTTCTCTGAGGCACCGCCTGAGAGGGCACTTATGATGAAAGGATATTCTGTGACACTGGTGTCTTTTAAGATCACTGCAAGGAGGGAAGTTTTGTTGTTGGTAACACATTATAATTTTCCTTTCCAGGAAAAAAGGCTCTTTCACAAAGAAAATATCTGGGTCTGCGAATGCTGCCCCTCAGTATGAAGTAAGTGTGGGCTTGAATATGTCTGGGTCATTTTCAGAAGTAAAGCCATAGCTGGACTGTCTTGCCAGGGAAACTAAAGTGTTAGGATTACAGCTAAGTACTCTTGTGGCCATAGGCTCTACTGATGCACCAGCACTCACTGTACCTTTCAGTTTCTTTCACGTGCCTATATTTTATAATGTTCAATGGTTCTAGACTTTGTTATAGGGAATCAGAGCACACCTGGGGAAGAATAAGTATGACCTGCTGCAGGGGGTCTTGTTCAGCATCTAGAAGGGTTCAGGAATCTAGAGAAGGGCTGCGGTAAATTAATCAAGAGTCCAGAGATGAAACATAATTTTGGGGAGCCAGATGAGGCTTAGCTAAATAAACCAAGTCCTCCTGTCTCTGTGGACCCCTTGCTTTTATTAACACAAATTGTCCTAAAGCAAGGTAGATATATACATCAAAGGCAAGGTTTAGTATACAGAATCTGTTGTCAGATTGGAGGACGGCTGTTCAGGTGTTTGGCCAGCAGGAGGCAATAACATGTAGATTGAAATGCCCTCAGCTGTCTGGCAGCAAGCAATCACTTGTGCATCCTTTTCAGGTTTGGGGAAATGCCCTTAGCCATTTCCAACAGACAATAATCTGTATTTTTCTAGCCCTTGCTGAAGGCTCAAGGTCCACCAACCATTTGATGAACTTCTTGCATTTATGACCTGCTGGAATTAGCTTCCAGCAACCTGCTTAATGGAATACTCTCTGGCCACTCTGAGCCTTGAGAGAGCAGGTAGAATATTCACTGAGATTCATTCGAAGGCATTGCCTGGGGCTCCAGAGATCAATTTGCTTTGCTTCTTAAACTTATGGGAAATATCTTCTCACTTTAGCCTTCTTCGAGAAATGAAAAGGCAAGATCCAGATTTCCCTGTTGTGAGTTCTGGGGTTTTTGTATATGAGGTGATTCAAGGAACAGCTGCTGAAAGGTAAGAGAAACCCAGGCCTTCATTCTCGCTAGATGTGTGCTGTGGCAAATGTGTAGGATTTATGGGTCTAGTAATAATTAATGTCGTTTTCAAACATTCGTTTAAAATCTTGCTTGGCGTTGACTTGTATTGACATAAGCTTCAAACACGTGGTATCTACAGAACGTGTGAAGTGCAATTAACAAGTTTTGCTTGAAAAAGTTTGTGTTTGGTTTGGTTTTTGTTGCAAAACCAGGGCTAAGAAGATGGCGGATGAAGAGCATATTCGGCACTGCATGCTTTACGAGTTCCAATTAGGAAGAAAAGCAAGTGAGGCTGCAAAAAACATCTGTAGTGCTCTTGGTCAAGATGCAGTTAGCGCCAGGAAATGCCAGCGTTGGTTTGAGAAATTTCGCGAGGGAAATTTTTCGTTAGATGACAAGAGTGGTCGAGGCCGTGTGTCCAATTTTGATCAAGAAGCTCTTCAAGCTCTTTTGGTGCAAAATCCTCAAATTACCCAACAAGAGCTTGCGACAACTTTAAATTGTTCACAAAAAACAGTTTCCAATCAATTGCGTGCACTTGGCAAAGTCCAAAAGTTTGGAAAATGGGTTCCTCATGAGTTGACCAACAACAACCGTAATCAAAGAGTCACAATTTGCAGTTCGCTCCTCTCTCGTCAAAACCTTTTGCCGTTTTTAGAGCAAATTGTTCCCGGAGATAAAGAATGGGTGCTGTATGTTAATATGAAAAGGCGGCCTCAATGGTTGGACAAAAATGAGGCTCCGCAGCCCACGCCAAAACCTGACTTGCATGCGAAAAAAGTGATGTTGTGTGTTTGGTGGAATTTTAAAGGAATTCTTCATTATGAACTTTTACCATCTAACCAAACCATTACAAGTGCAGTGTATAGTGCCCAATTGGAAAGGTTAGCCCAAGCTTTAAGAGAAAAAGAACCCGCGCTGATTAATCCAAAGGGCGTAATTCTTCACTACGATAACGCATGACCGCATACTGCAAGAATCACTGCTGAAAAACTGCGCCAGTTGGAATGGGAAGTTCTCCCTCAACCTGCATATTCTCCTGATATTGCCCCTTCCGATTACCATTTGTTTTGTTCTTTGCAAAACTTTCTTCTTGGAAAAAAATTTAATAATGAAGAATGCCTCAAAAATGCATTGACCGAATTTTTTGCATCAAAATCACAAGAATTTTACAACAGAGGGATTAAAATGCTTCCTGAGCGTTGGGCACAAGTAGTAGAAAACAACGGCAACTATATTGTTGATTAAATTTTGTTGAATTGTTTAAATAAATTCGATTTAAAAAAGTATTAGAAAACGACATTAATTATTACTAGACCTAATAGATATAGGCTGTCTGGCACAGTGGCTCCTGCCCACATGTGACTATTGAACACTTGAAATGTGGCTGGTATGACCGATGGACTGAATTAAAAAAAAATAAAAAATATATATATATATTTTTATTTTATTGATTTTTTTTTTTTTTTTACAGAGAGGAAGGGAGAGGGATAGAGAGTTAGAAACATCGATGAGAAAGAAACATCGACCAGCTGTCTCCTGCACACCTCCTACTGGGGATGTGCCTGCAACCAAGGTACGTGACCTTGATTGGAATCAAACCTGGCTGATTTCAGTCTACAGGCTGATGCTCTATCCACTGAGCCAAACCGGTTAGAGCCTGAATTTTAAATTTTATTTAATTTTAATTTATTTAAATAAAGAAACTGTTTTCTTTATTTAAATAAAGAAATGTTTTCCCATGAAACTCACCTTTTTTGGGGGGGGGGAGAGGAGAGGGGAAAAACTGCCTTGTACTGTAAGCATTGCAATTATAAGATATTGTGGTTGTGCATTGTTTCTAGTGGATTTCAAAGACTTAAAACAGACAGGCATGTAAAATATATACTAATTATTAAAACATTACATGTTAAAATTATAGTTTAGATATATTGAGTTAGATACATTACTAAATTGGTTTCATCTGTTTAAAAGTTTTTGAAAAAGAAATGTGGTTACCAGAAAATTTAAAACTACATATGGCATGTAGATAGTCATGCTGATTTAGACTTGTGTACTCTAAGGGCCTTTTTTTGGGAGGCAATGGTTCTCTTTAAGCCAGGAATGCACGATATGAGTTAATAGCCTAAGTCTAAATTAATTTTGCTAGGATCCCCAAGTCTGCCCTTTCAATACCTGAGTTATTAAGAATCAGAAGAATCCAAAGGATCAAAAGTTTAGAAACATGCTTTAGGTAATTTAAAATACTTTTGTCTTTGAACTCTGGATGACTGTATCAGACGGCAACACAAAGTAAATAAATAAATAAGCAAACAAAGAAATAAATCAAGCAAAGGTTAGAGTAGCTTTCCAAAGGCTGTAGTTTCGAACATTTACACTAACTACCGAGAGCTGAGGTGGCTTGTCCAATTACTCTCCTGGGTCTCCCTCTTAAGCTTCTTCAGTATCTGTTTCTCATTGTGTTTGTTTTTCAAGAGCTCAATAATCTGTTTAGATCACGGCAACGCTTTTAGAAGGAGGCAAGAAACCCTCGGGTACTACCTGTTCTGAATAGCTGAGTGTTAGGTCTCATGTTACTAAACTTGGCTCGTCACAAGCTTTCCTAGACTTTCTTAGTTCCTACGCGCGCCCCCCCCCCCCCCGCCACCCCCCAATGCATCCCAATCCTTATTTTTAACTTCTGGTTCATGGCCAAAGCTATTTCTTTCAGCTCTCCAAGGCCTTGCTACTCAGGATGTGGTCTGTAGTCCAGCTGCATTAGGATCAGCTGGAGTTTTTGGGAAATGCAGTATGACAGGCCTACCACTGAATCAGAAACTGTCATTTTAAACAAGATCTCCTTGATTTGGATGCACGTTTAAATGTGGGAATTACTGCTTGCTTGATGTCTCTGCTGAACCAGAAATCTGTTGACTCCATCCACTTATATCTAATAATAATAATAATAATAATAATTATGACAATAACAGCTGGCATTTATTAACCACTTAATACATATCAGGCATCATTTAATATTTTTTACATGCTTCGTTTGATCCCGCAGTAGTCTTATGAAATAGGTATTATTTTACAGAGGACACAGCTGTGGCAGAGAGAGGTCAAGGTGAGAGTTACACAGTAAGTCAGACAGCAGGAATATGGAACCTAAGTGAACCTCTATATGATCCTGCCTTTGTGGCAGCTCTTCTTGCTTCTGAGAAGCAGACTAATCGAGTGGCAAGAAGATGGGTTTTCAAGTCTGAAGACCAGGGATCAAATCCTAGCCTTTTACAAGCAGTGGGACATTTATCCTGCCTGAGCCTCATATTTGGGCTCAGCCATAATTTGCAGGTTTTTTCCCCACTCACAGAACTGCCATGAATTGAGTTCTTCCTTTGTGCACTGTATCAGTCACTTTCTAAAGTAACTTTGTCCTAAAGACTCTCCATGCTTGTAGCTTTATCTACCTTCAAACTTCTCTTCACATCCTCTTGCTTTAAATTTCTCCTATTTTTTCATAAATTCCACGTATCTTGGTAATCCTATTACTCCTGCTTCTCCTGAAGTCACTTAATTTTATGTCCCTCTTCCAGCTTCTTTTTGGCTTTAAGACAACAGCATAACTATGTATGTATGGTGGTTTCTGTTTCTAAGATATACATTCTATGTGAAACAACTATGTAGGAGACTGCATACAATCACAACTTTGGGGAAAGGAGTCTAAAATCAGAGCCTTAAATATTTAGACTTGGAAGGGTGATTAGTTTTCGACTTACTGGGAACAGAGCTTTTAACAATATTGCTCAACATACTCTCTCGTTCAATAAACTATGGTTGAAAATGGGGCAAGTGGTCTGTCAAAATCAAACTGATCAGAGTGTAGCTGTCTGGGGAAAAACATATTGACTGGGCTTTTCATGTTTGCTCATGAGAATGGGATTATGATTCAGGTTCACAGAGGCCAGAGATTAATAGAAATGAAAAGCTAAACACCTATTCCAAACCAAATCCACTCTATGAAAGGAGTAAACCTCTTACACATGATTGATTGTGGTAGAATATTAATTTTATGAAGGTAAATAGGACTGTTGTCTTCAAGATGATCTCACAGCATATCTTAGAACAGTCCTCATATTTGGAACGATTGAGGCTATTTTTGGTTTCCCGGTTGGTATGTTTACTACCAGCAAAATAGTAGTATCTTAAGAGATAAGACATTACATTCTAGCTGGGATAAGTAAAACTCTTAGAGTTTCATGCTCCCTTTTTTCTCCCCTCCAAGCTCTGGGTTGCGAGACCACGATGTAATTGTCAGCATAAATGGACAACCTGTTACTACCACAAACGAAGTTATTGAAGCGGTCAAGGACAATGATTCCCTCTCCATGATGGTTCGTCGGGGAAGTCAAACTTTGATCCTGACAATCACACCTGAAATAATTGATTAAGTACCTTGACTTAAAGATGAATTATTTAACAAAACCCAAGTTATATTACCTTGTTTGTATTGAAGATGTGCCAAAGATGGCTAGGGTTTTTAGGATCTTTCTTATAAAGGAAAATGAATGCTTAAGTATGCATATGCACACGCGCACAAACACACACACACACAAACAAACACACACACACACACACACACACTTGGGAACTATTAGATTGGGGGTGTACTGCTAAGAAGCTTTACTAAAAAGGATGTGGTGCCAGGAAGTCTGGGAAGCTGAGAAAATTTTGTTTAAAGATAGGAACAACTGGGAAAAAGGCAGTTTCTAATTTAACCTTGACAGAAGGGCCCTTTAGTATTGTTAAACTTCCCTATAGCTACAAACTCTCTCTCTCTCACACACACACACACACACACACACACACACACACACACACACGGCAGGGGTCCTGCTGTGCACCCAGACCTGCCTTCTGGGTTTGGCCATTTCGGCAAAGTCTGGGCAGCCCCGCTGGCTGCCTGGACCTGGGTTTCCGCTGTGGCGCCTGGTCCCTGGGCAGGTGAGTGCCCTCCCAGGAGCCACAGCAGCCTGGCTTTGTGGGGATGGGCTGGCTGGTTTGGGGAAGGAACCCCTGTCCACCAAAAAAACAAAGAATTACCAGAACTCTGCAGAGCATCTGAGACCTCCCTTGACACACTCTCCACCACTCTGGCTCTGTCCCCGGCCACCACATTCTGGTCCTTGAAGCAAGTGGCCGCACTACTGAACAGAGTGACAGGGGCCCGGATGGTGGGAGCCAGGTGTTCCTTGCTCTTCTTGTCCAGCTGGGACCAGAGGGAGCCCAGGCAGCGGAGGGCACTTTTTTTTTTATCAGCTCTTGCGAAGCAGGGGGAGTGTCACCTGGCTCTCTCACACTTAGGATCAGCATCCAGTCAACCCTCTCCAGTCCCAGGGAGGGTCCCTGGTCAGTGCTAAAGTCAGAAAGAGGAGGAACACACACACACACACACACACACACACACACACACACACACACACTATTTTCCAAATAGTAAGAAACAACTTGAATCCAGAATACAAAGAAAATCAAATTTTTAATACTATTCCCTTACAAAATCAGTTTTTCGGGTTGCATCACATTTGGCCAGCCTTTATGGATACAGATGATGGCTATCAGTTATAAGTCAAATTGAAACTGGAATTATGGATTGTCACAGAAGATTATTAAAGACTCTCAAGTTATCACTCTAGTAGTGGAAACAACTTTGGTCTCCAACAGCTTTTCTGACTACAAGAGGACTTCTATAAAAGATACTTCAATAAATTAAAAACTTTACTTTTTACCCAAGCTCTTCCTCTTGGCAAACACTAATGATTTGAGTCTGAAAACTGCCAAATGTATTTTTTTTTAAAAATAAAATAGCTTTCGATAAGGTTTGTGACTTAATTTTAATAAAATTAAAAAAAAAAAAGATGTGAGATGAGGCAGTATTTGTGGCCTAAGGTAGTATATTATTTTGGGTAAGATTTAAAATTGTTTGTTTTCTGGGCTTCTCTTAGAAGTGAGATTAGAAGAAAAAAAAAATGTTACATCAATAGACCCTCTTAAAACCTATGTAAATTTTGTGTTTGTGTATTTTTCTGGGTCTAGTTTCTTCATGACCACAATTTAAAACACACTGCCTTAGAGTACAGAGATTATGAATAAAAATCTACCAATTATTACTGTTGTAAACAAGGTTGGGGTCAGTATGGTCCAGAACTTTTAAGATAGCATAATCTGTTTTAATATTTACATAATTGCCATCATTTAATAATATCAGAACAGTTGGTGATCATATTAGTCAGGAGTAATAAAGCTGAAATTTTTAGGAAAGCCATTTCATAATGATAGAGCATATCCTGAGTTATTTGAATTGTGATTCTTATTTTTCTTTTAAAAATATGTTCTTTTATTAAGCCCTGACCGGGAATCGAACCATGACCTTCTGGTTCATAGGTTGAGGCTCAACCACTAAGCCACACCAGCCAGTTAACTGTGATTCTTGGTCTTTAAGTCAATTATTATGAAACTAAACTTTGAGCAGTTCTATCATGATTGTTTCTAGAACTTATAACTTATTCCAAAATACAGGATCTTAATTTGACTTGTCCATAAAATTCCCCCTTTACTTTGTACTTAACAGTTCTTTGTAACTTAGATTGAAAAGGACGGGAACTAAGTTTTTTAAAATCACTTATTATTCAAAGCATTTCCTTTATTCCCAGTGATCTGGGAATGTGAAAGCTTAGCTGTGGCTCTTTCTCTGTGGCTGACTCCTGTAACCCACAGTGAAAACTTCTGGTACAAGCTTATTGCACTGTTTCTCTTTCTCCCTACAAATCACATCCTAAATCCACCCAGTTCTCAGTAATAATATCCTTTAAGAGTCTGTTTTTCTTTCCAAGAGCACAATGCTCCTCACCTTATCTTATGTAATTGTGAAGACCAGTTTAATAGTCATTTGAAATCTTATTTATCAGCCTACAACATGGGCTCTCTAAATTGGTAAATAATACTTTTTATTTTATTTTTTATTGATTTCAGAGAAGAAGGAAGAGGGAGAGATAGAAACATCAGTGATGATAAAGAATCATCAATCAGCTATCTTCCACACGCCCCTTACTAGGGATCAAGCCCGCAACCTGGGCATGCACCCTGATCAGGCATCAAACCGTGACCTCCTGGTTCAAGGGTGGATGCTCACACTGAGCCACATTAGTTAGGCTAAATACTACTTTTTAGTCAGGAAAATTCTGCTAAGAGGATAGACTAACCCAGACAGATCTTGTACTGTTGGCTTTCAAACCATAATTGGAATGAAAAAAACTTCATATATATATATATATATATATTCCCCCCCCATGTATATATTGCCCCTTAAGCATAATAATTGTGAAACAATAGGTTTTATTAATAGGGTAGTTTACTTCAATCACCTAGTTTTTAGTGAAACAAATGTAATTTTGAGTTTCACTCTACCTACTGAGAATATCCAAACAGTGTTCCAGGTTGGCAAAATTCTGCAGTTTAAATTCAGAATTTCAGTGTGTATTTCTACTTTCCCTGAATCTTTCCATTGGTTCTGCTTCAGTTCTCCCGTGCATGAGACTCGGGGTCACAAAAGGCACAAAGCTAACAATACTCACTTCGCTCATCCTGTTGGGTCCACTTGCTCCAAAGATATGGCCAAGTACAGAAGTAAAGAGTATAGAAACCCTTCTGCAGCTTATAAATTCATTGCTAGCTTTTATATTTTGTAATGAGAAAAGGTATAAACTTAATTCCCTCAACAGTGTTTGCTTGCCATTTCTAGTCAGCAAGGTAACATTTGGATTGCAAATCCACAGTCCAGGGAAATCTTCCTACCAATGCCATTCCTCCAAAGAGGGCAAGTAATGGTCAGGTCTGATATTAAGGAAGAGTTTTGAGCCTGTAGAGATGAATTCCGAAGACTTGCCTCTTTGGGCCATAAAAGCAGCTCTTTTTAATAAACAGTGCACCAATTGCTGCCATCACTTGGCATCAGCCCTCCAGTAATAAGTAATATAAGGTCAACAAACCACCAAATCCCAAGTCCTCCAAGTGTCAATAGTTTCCCTACTGCTGTGCCAGTGTGTCCCAGACAGAAACGATCCACTCCAAAACATCCCAGGAAGAACGAGTAGAGTAAAGTGGTTATGAAGTAGTGTCCGGTATACCTAGACAAAAGGAATTAAAAGGAAGATGTTTACCACATGAAAATTAAAACATGTAAGGTAAAGTGAAATGATGATGCAGCCAGTCCCTCTGTCGTCTCTTACTCCCTTATCCTACCTACCCTCTCCATAAGATCTGTTGTAGGTCTAGCCCAGCAATTTTCAACCTTTTTTCATCTCATGGCACACATAGACTATTTACTAAAATTCTGTAGCATACTAATCTACTGATCTGACAAAAAAAGAAATAGTCATAGACTCTTCACTAGAAAATGGTAGAAGTAAATTCTGTGCCTTCAAGCAGAACTTATAGAAACAAGACTCATTCTTTTTTTAAGATAAACTGATTTTCAGTGAGAGAAGCCCATACCTTTAACGATAAAACCTTTACTGCTGAAATTCTAAGGCTATTTTCACAGGATTTCTGCCTATCATGGGCATTCTGGAGCTAGATGCTCTGTCCGACTCCTTCATTTTGCGGTGAGGGGATAGAGACTCTGGGTGCCCAAACATACGTAGGTAGTTGGTGAAAGAGACATTTAGAACTCATGGCCTCTGGTCTGAAGGCCAGAGTCCTCTCTATTATATTAATAGCTCTATTGCCCTATCCATTGATTATGCACAATAGTAATCCTGTTGCCCATTTAACACTTAAGGTAAAAGAAACAGTCCCATCAAGAGATGACAAGAAAAAGAGCTCTACCTCCACCCAACTATCAATTACCCCATTCAAAGGAACACTTACTTTATACAAGGTTTATTCTCTCGTAGGAAGGTCCTAGGACTGGCACACTCAATTCCGTCCAGGGCCCTGCACTGGACTTTCGTGTGTTCCACGTCACTGTAGGCCTGACCACCAAACTGTGGAGTAACAACCAAAGAAACTCACCAAAGCAAGTCACACAAAATACATCTTTATATCAATTAATAACGCTGACTCAGGATGATAACTATCCTAATGAAGTTAGGGTAAAGCTGTGTTAAAGAACAAGGGATTTAGTGACATACTTCAAGTGACTGTAAATTAGTCCATCCTAAATGTACACTGCTTTAAATAACCTCGCTTTTTTCTCCCCCCCTCCCCCTTTTTTTTTTGACTGGCTTCTTTAATAATAAAGTTTAAAAATGAATAATCAGCCGAGACTGGTTTGGCTCAGTGGGTAGAGCATCGGTCTGCGAACTGAAAGGTCCCAGGTTTGATTCTGGTCAAGGACGTGTATGTTGGTTGCAGGCACATCCCCGATGGAGAGTGTGCAGGAGGCAGCTGGTCGATGTATCTCTCTCATCGATGTTTCTAACTTTCTATCCCTCTCCCTTCCTCTCTGTGAAAAATCAATAAAAATATATTTTAAAAATGTATAATCAGTTTCATTAAATGCCATTTAGAACAGATGGACACAATACTTTAATTAACCTTTATTTACAGAAAAAAGAGCATACTACTGAGCATTTGGGAATGGGTATTTAAAAAGCTGACCTTGTGTTAGAGGTCTGTTTTATATATATATTACAAATGAACATAACTAGGAAAGAATTCAGAATATCGACTGACTTTATTTAGGTCATGATTATGTGATGAACAGATATTTGTAGTATATCTATAGTATGTTTAAATTCCGGCAAAAATTTCCGAACAGGACCTCTGACCCTTCATGTAACTGAATTCTAGAAAAGTAAGCACAGCTGTACATTCTCTACTGGCACCTTATTAAGTGCATCACTACTATTTTTGTTGGAGTATTTCTCAAAGAGAAGCTGGTAGGAAAAACAATGCTTATTCCGTGTACTCTCCCAGGGAGTCAGGTACCTGGGCACTGCCAGTCCTATAGTTTGAGTGCCTTGACAAGATCAATTCAGTTTTCAATTAAAATATATAAAATTACCTGACCTCTAAACAATGCTAACTCAAACTTTTATCCATAAATATCAAAAGGACAAAATCTCACTGTATTGAGAATATTTATTTATGCTTTATTACAATATAAGCTTTTAGTTTTAGTACTTTCAGGTTTATTCCTCTGTGTCTGATTTAGTACAAATAATATTTTCCCGTAGTGGGGGGTGAGGGCATCTGCTGGAGGGTGGAAGCGGCCAGGGAGAGGTCAAAAAGGAGACTTATGTAATACTTCAAACAAAAAGGAATTTTTTTAAAAAAAGTAAAAAAATATATTTCCCCATAATTTTGTTACACTTGATTGTGTTTTGACTTGTATTATACAGCAAATATAATTGTGCATCCATAATGGGGAGAACACACATAAATTTCACTAGTTTTGGGGAATCTGACTAGGCAATGTGCACCTAGCTTTAGAGATATTATTAATGGAACCAAATAGTTTCTCTCTATTCAAAGAGAACATTGTTAATAAAGGATTCTTCTTGAATCGTATAATCTCCTACAAAGACATCCTATATTAGAAAAACCTAATATGCAAATCAACCGAACAGCAAAATGACCACTGGAAAGACGAGTCGCTATGATATGCACTGACCACGAGGGGGCAGACGCTCAACCCAGGAGCTGCCCCCAGCCCGCAGGCCCCAGGCCAGCCAAGGCAAGTGCCCGAGGTAAGATCATGTACATTTCTGGATGAGTTTGCTTATAAAACAAAACAAAAACCCACCTTGAGACAACCATAACCAAGTTCCTGGGATGCAGTTGTATTTCCAACGTGATCCACTGGGTCGTCACAGTCTATGAATTCATCAGGTCTACAAATCACCAGTAAGAACATGATCATCACATGGCCTTTGCAATCGGCTCTTTACATATATATAATCAAAACAGGCAAGAGACATTTCTTTCAAGTTTTCTGGGGTTTAATGTCACTCTGACTCTTCCCCAAGACAAGAAGAGATGGTGTCAATTAGACTGAAGCGCCGCAGGTCAAATAGCCATCCATCCATCCATCCATCCATCCATCCAAATGACCCTTTTTATTGGGGGCAGGGGTTGTTTCTGGTCCTGTTTCTGCCCGGATTCTACTTCTGCCATAGCTTCAACTCTTCTCTAGGCAAACATCCCCAAGGCTCTGGGGGCAAGATTAAGGCCAAAGGATTCCCAGTTCTCCTTTGCAGTTCCCAAACGCCTTTTCTTATTTGACTAAAAAGAGATGTAAAAAAAAAAAATGACTTGGATCATTTCTTTCCTCTCTCACAGTCAAGTACCTTATAGGCAGGGGCAAGTGATTTACTTTAGTTGTGGCTCACATAATACCAGGCCCTACGAGGGAATCTCTTTAGGGTAAAACGGAGGAGAGAGGCGGCACAACCTCCTACCCTCCCCTTCTTCCGGAGGCTGTATGATGTCACTCCTCCCTAGATCTCCTCCTTCGGGATCCCAAAGGAGCTGTCACCCACACCCAAGGTGAGAGGACTGAGCAACCTGTCATGATATTTACCTCCCGAGTGTTGACTAACGGGTCATCAGGTGGAGAAGGTCCGGGAAAACCCCCCAAAGCATCCTTCCTCTCCTCCTCCTCCTCCCCCAACACAACACCCCATCTATTCCCTGCCCTATATCGCCAGCTCCACCTGTCTCCACGACTTGGGTAGCTTACAGGAAAGAGCAAAGGATGACTGGAGAGGTGGCGTCGCCATATTCCCAGCTCGGAGCGCCGGCGGGGACCTCCGGGTGGGCGGCGCCGGCGGACGTGAGCTCGGGCTCCGCGGTAGCGTTGAACGAGTGGCTCCGGGAGACACAATGCAGCAGGAGCAGGTTCCCCAGCAGCAAGGCCGCCTGACCGCAGAGAAGTAAGTAACTCACCGGGCAACCACCCAGCACCATCTTCCCGGGCCCAGGGGCGGATACCGGGGCCTCGGCCGCCGCCGCCGCCACCACCAGCCCCGGCAGGCAGGCAGCGGGATCCGAGCCTCGGCCAGGTCAGGCCTCTTCCGTAGCCCCGCTCTTCCCTAGCCAAGCAGCCAATGGGCGCGCAGCCCGGCGCCCCGCCCCAAAACCAGACCACAAATCAGAAGAGGCTGCGCAGGGGGCGGGGCCTTAGTTCACCTCCGGGGTCTCACGCTCCGCCTCCTTTTACGCTAAGCGCTTCCTCCAATCGGCTTCCTCCGACCCCCGCCGTGGGGCGGGCCTAGGAGTAGAAACAGGCGCGGACGGCGGGTGGGCGGGGCGGACGAGCGCGGCTCGGAGCGTCCGGATAGCAATTCCATTTTCTCGCCGGGGACTCGGGCTTTCCCTACGTCAGCGGTAGCGAGCGCGATGTCGGGAGCGAGCTCGGACAAGGGCTGAGTTGCGTCAGTGGCGAGCGCGCGTGTTCGTCCCCCGGGCGCGCGCGCCCCTGCCAGCTCCGGGGCCCCAGGCGGGGTTGGGGAGTGATGGAGCGGGCGGCGGCGGCGGCGGCCGAAGCGACCGGACGCTGAGTGGAACCTGCGGCGGAGTCGGCCGACATGGGGTCCCGCGCGGGCTCGCCCTTTGGCACACTCCGCTTCCAGTGGCTGCTGTTGTTGGGCTTGGTGGGCCCGGTCCTCGGCGGGGCTCGGCCAGGTGGGTGTCCGCCCCCGGAGACCTTCTGGGGCTGCCGTTTCCTAGGGCGAGGACGCTCGAAGTCCACCCCGAGGTGCCCGGCCGTGGAGAGGGGCCTGGCCTGGCGACTGGACTCGGGGTTCGGGTGGCGGAGCCGCTCCAGCTCTGTGTGTGTGTGTGTGTGTGGACAGTGCTCAGACCCGAGGGTTGGGGGGTCTGGCGCCCCCCAAAACCCTTCTGGGCACGGGTCTCCCGTCGGATCCCTCTGACTCTGTCTCCTGTTTGACATGCCGCGCCCAGCTGGGTCCCCCTAGCTTCTCTCCAGACTCGCTCTGGATCCCGCTCTGACCTCGGGGAGTCTGCTGGGTGCGCGCCGAGGGTGTGTTCATGTTTAAACTGTTCTGAGAAATGGAGCTGGGACTCGCTTGGCAAGTTAATGTCACTTGGAAAGAGACCGGGAGATGATGGAACTTTTGGTCCAGGGTATCACAATTTGAAAATTGGATGTTCATGTTTGATCAGCGGAGTCACCAGTAGGCACACAGAGCGGAATTTAAATGTAGTGATGGAATAAAAGTGGTGTGTGTGTGTGTGTGTGTGTGTGTGTGTGTGTGTCTGTCATGTGTTGTGTGGGTGAGCGCGCTCATTTTTCTTGGGCCATTTTGTTGTAGGAAGACTAGTTCTTTTTGGAAACCAAGTGCTGCATTTCTTGGCCAGTCTTCTATCTGCGTTTTTTCCTGGGTTTGTAATGTCTTAAATCCTGACAAATAACCCCTGCTCCGCTGCAGTTACAGGATTTATGCAAACTTGCTTTTGAATTGTAAAGCTTCCCTTGGATATGGAAGGTGTTAGTTAATATTGGAGGCGCCCAAACATAGTGGAAGCAAATCGCCAACACTCGAGCTTCTTTCTGGACACAACTTTATTTTGGCTGTTGTGTTAAATTGTTGTTTGCGTGTCTATATTTTCCTTATCAGTTATAGAGTATGTTTTTGTTGTTGTTGTTGTTGGTTTTTTTTTCTTTTTCTTTTTCTTTTTCACTAAATCATTGCCTTGAGAATTGTTCAAAGGTGATGACAGAAAATTTCAATGCAGTCTGGCTGACCTTCAGGAAACTAATTACATTTTTTCCTTATCTTTGGTTCTTTTTCAATTAAATAAATTTGTCCCATTGCAGGGATTTTGAAGCTCTAAATAGTGAAACTTTATTGAAATGGAAGCTACTAAGTTTTTTTTCTGGTTAAGGTTATTGTTGCCGTAACATTCTAGATAGTTAACATTTATCAATATTTAAGGTGAAGTAGTTTATACATCTGGAGTTTTAGTAATCTATGATTCAGTGTGATTGCAAATATAACCAAGACTATCTATCTATATCTATCTATCTATCTATCTATCATCTATCTATCATCTGTCTATCTATCTATATTTTACACGAAAACAAACTCTTTGTTTCATTTATTTACTTTTTCCCTTTTTACTCAATTTTTGGGGTGACATTGGTTAACAAAATTATACAGGTCTCAGGTTCACAATTCCACAGTACATCATCTGTTCACTGTATTGTGTGTTCACCCCACCAAATCTCCTTTCATCACCATTTATTCCCCCTATACTCTCTTCCCCCTCCCCCCTCCCTGTAATCTCTACATTCTAGTCCATGTGCATGATTTTCTAGTTTTTTCTCTTTTTTCTTAATCACTCCACTCCCTCCAAGAGCCCTGAGCCTGCTATCTAAGGCTATATATGTAATACTTATAATAAATAATTACATATATATATATATGTAATTATTTATTATTATAAGTATTACATATATCCCCCTGTTTCCTCCATTGACCTCCAGCCCTCCCCTGCTCCTCCACACCCCCACCTCAGGTCTTCAGCAACCTATTATGTGTGTTCATGGATTATCATATTAATATATGCATACAAGGTGTAAGACTATATTTTTAATGTTAATATATGTTTTGTGAGTACATGAAACAGAGTTTGTTCTTATATTATTTATTAGTTATTATTTTCCATAAGGACAACTGTAAATATGCTTTTGCCCATCCTATATATAGTTGCATGGACTTTCCTTATGGTTTTTAACTGTGGCTTTTAACAGTTTATGGCCAGTCCCACACTTAGTAAGCATGTGTATGCTTTCAAAATTCAGTCAGTGTTTTATCAAATTCCTATAAACATCATGCTTAATTTTTGTAGAGGGGCAAAGGATGACTAAATGTTAAATCTAGGTGAGGAATGTAGGGGAAGGTTTCACTGTGGAAGTGATATTTGAACTGATCTGTGTTGGCGAATGCTCACGTAAAGTGACAGGAATATATTCTAAGCAGAAGAATTTTTGCAGGAGTACGGAGGGGTGAAAGAACATGACTTGATGGCAATGATGAGAATGTCTCCAGGCAGATGCCTATATATGAAAGAGAGGCAAGGAAGAAGTAAGGTAGGTTTATACCAGTTGGGAAGAGTCTTCAATGCCATGCTAAGGGGTTTGGACTTCACCCTGCAGGTAAAGTTCTTTGGGTAACATTTGGGAATAAGAGAACTGACCACAAAATGGATGACAGAATATAGGAGGGAGAGCCTGCGGCTGGCAGAGACCCGTTAGGAGGCTTTTGTAATAGTGTGTAGTGAGTCAATTCCTGTCTCCCTACTGGAATGTTCCTCCAAAATCAGCTGACTGAACTTTTGCAATACAGGAAGGATGTTTAAATCATGTGCTGAAATCTTTTCTGCTAATGGGAAAGGAATTTAAAGACCTAATAAGTACCATATACATCCTGGTTAAATAGGCTCTGAAAGAATTTTACTGCCATTGTGTCAATGAGGAAGTGCAGTATAAACTCCAAACAGATGGCACTCACAGGAAAACTTTTCTTTTTAAACTGTGACTAACAGAGGTACCTATGTGTCACTGTGAAAAATAACAAAGGGAATCAAGTATGATACCTCTTCCGATGTTCTCTTTTAAGGTAGTAATTACGATGCACAGATCTAGAATTTAAAAGAACATTTAGAAAGACTAGCAGTCTAGGAAAAATGAGTTTTAAAGTGTAATTACTCATGGTGACTCACTGTAAAACGAACTATGTATTATAGTAAGAACGTATGTCCGCACTAATTTTGTTTTTTGATGCCAGCAAATTACTTGAATTTGATGTTTGTGTTTGTACTGTACAGTAGAGTGTAGTTTTTTACATTTAAAGATAATTTGGTTTTCATACTTTTAAGTAGAAAGTAAAATGTTTGTAATTGAAATATGTATAGAACAAATTGTTGTGTTCCAATTTGTTTTCAAAAGCACTTTAAATTTTACCTTATCAAAGTGTAAGATACTGTTATATTTGTGTCATATAAAAAAAAAATCTTGGTTTATTATAAATCCTCCCCAAAGAAGCAAGTTCTGAGTAACTGGAGGCTTTTTCTTGGAATAGCCACAAGCACAAATATATGACAAATAGCCTCATGATATATACAGGGTGCCCCCCAAAATATATAGACACATTTTAACAACTGATAGTTTAGTTTTGAAAGTGAAATGTATTTTAATAAACATTGCCTTTATTTATTTATTTATTTATTTATTTATTTATTTATTTTAAAAATATATTGATTTTTTACAGAGAGGAAGGGAAAGGAATAGAGAGCTAGAAACATCAATGAGAGAGAAACATCGACCAGCTGCCTCCTGCACACCCCTCACCAGGGATGTGCCCGCGACCAATGTACATGTCCTTGACTGAATTGAACCTGGGACCTTTCAGTCCGCAGGCCGACGGTCGCTCTACCCACTGAACCAAATTGGTTTCTGCTATTTTTTTTTAAATTTCTTTATTGATTAAGGTATCACATATTTGTCCTCAATCCCTCATTCCAATCCCCACCCCTCCCCACTCATGCCCCCACCCCCCTCTTGTCCCTGACCACTGGTTAGGCTCATATGAGTGCACATAAGTCCTTTGGTTGATCTCTCCCTTTTATCCCCTCCCTCCCTTTGAGGTCCAACAGTCTGACCCATGGCTCCTTATCTCTGGGTCTGTTCTTGTTCATCAGTCTATGTTGTTCACCATTTCTCCTAGATGAGTGAGATCATGTCCTACTGGAAATATAAGAATAAAAAATGAGACAAGCATTAATCATTATGCTGAGAGGCATATGAATCAGTCTGTAGTGAGTTTCTTTCTGGGCCAACAGTTCTTTTGAGATCCAATTTCAATGTCAAATAGTTCTTTATGTGTACGTGTCAGCAATGATATTTCAGTTCTGGATGGTGGATAAATGGTGGTAGGCAGGTCCAACCCTCTTTGGTTTGGTCCTGGGCAACCTGCAGTAATACACAGCTGCTGACTGCTATTATGGCAAGGCGTTGCCAGTTTCTTCCATCTCTGGACTGCTTCTCTTCTGTCTTCATGGTTGGAGTAGTCTTATTTTTTTCTTTTTATGAAATATATATTTTTTTGATTTCAGAGAAGAAGGGAGGAGAGATAGAGGCATCAATGATGGGAGAGAAATTGGCTGCCTCTTGTACACCCCCTACTGGGGATCTAGCCTGTAACCCAGGGTGGGTGCCCTGACTAGGAATTGAACCGTAACCTCCTGGTTTATAGATCAGTGCTCAACTACTGAGCTACACTGGCCAGGTAACACTGCCTTTATAATTATTCAAAGTGTGTGTACATTTTTTGATACACCCTATATATAGGTGAAAAAATATATATTTATCTATTCCCCTTCTTTCCCCCCAGTATATAGCAGAGTCTTCCATCCTTTGAGTTATGGCATCCTTTGAGTCCATGCTATAAGATTTACCTCATAAGTAAATCTGATGCTCTTAGTATCTCAGTAACTAACCTTCCAGTACCTTTAAAAGTTGGGTTGCACTTTGAATTGCATAATATTGTTCTTATATGAGAGATTATTTTTCATTTTGTGTCTGTGTTATTTTAGTAAACTTATTTTTCCAACATGACCAGGTATAGAAAACTTCTTGAAAGACATCTTTTAAGAATAAA